CTCTCTCTCTCTCTCTCTCTCTCTTCCCCTCTCTCTCTCTGAGTCAAATTTAAATCAAACTTTATTAAATACTGGCCAGGAGGATGGACACTAGCCATACCCAGGATTGGCAAAGAATCTTGCAATCTCTTTAAACTGTTCCTCCAAGAGCAAGCTGCACAAAGCAAGCTTCTTTGTGTCTCAGTTTCCCCATCTGTAAAACACGCTAGTAACAGTGCCAATTGCAAAGGCTTCTTAAATGAGTTTTAAGAGACTTGTTTTTTTAAGGGCTTAGAGCAATGGCTACAACATAGTTATTGCTATCAAAGTGACTATTAGCATGAATAAATATTTATGGAAAGTTCTGAGAAACATCAAAGAACTCCTATTTAACTCTTCCAAAATCTCAAAACATGAAGCTGGAGTGGCGAAAAGTGCTTGCTGCATAATCCTCAGAACTGGGGTTCAGACCCTGGCATCCATATAACAAGTCAGGTGACCCACTTATGCCTCTAACTCTAGTGCTGAGGAGTCCAATGCTTTCTTCTAGCCTCCACATACACACATGCATACACACTCATATAGACACACATAAAGGAACAAAATCTCCAAGTAAAACAAAATAAAAACTGAAACACTTAATTCAGAAAATCGTTTGCCTTTCATGGACTGTTTTAGTACTACATGGTGGGTGAAGTGGCAAATCAAGATCATAACATAGCATGTGTGGGGTCAAATCTCATATCTCACAAGCTTTGTGCCCTAAGCATGGGGCCAGGAGTAAGTACTGTTTTCGTAGTGTTTTCAGCCATGTTCTACCTTGGAGTATATACCAGTGTTATCTAGAGGACTATTTACAACACAGAATGCTGGGCTCTAGAGTTTCTGACTCAGCAGGATTAGGATGGTCTTAGAGTTTGGCTGCGAGGGGGAGAAGGAGTGAGTGAGTATGTGGATGTGCAGGGGCAGCTAGTCTATTCTGAAGTCTAAAATTAGCTGTCTTTGTGACCGAGAATACTGTTGCTTTCCTGTGTCAGTTAAGAAAAATATTCTGGTATTATTTCTATTCATCAGAATTATATAGCTTAAGCAGAAATCATCTTCCTGAACATCCACAGCTATAAGTGTGTCCAAAGATGTAAAACACACTATTAATGGGCTGTGGAAGGAATCCCACAGCTGTTCTTTTTAGGGAAAGGGAGGAGGGGGAAGGAGGAGGAGGAGAAGGAGGAGGAGATGACAAAACCAAACAGGATTGAAGCCTTAGTGTTCTCGGCCCTTCCACCCCCTTCCTCACATACCCCTCTTTGCCATCTTTTCCCATAAGCTTCCAAGACTACCCCCATTCTGAAAAACATTCTGCTTCATTTGACTATGTTCTTTTTTCAATTTCTATATGGAAATGCCTTCAAGTCGATACTGTTAAAAACAAACACCAAAATAAATCCCCACATGACAAAGATGCTGAGACCCAAGGAAAAAGGACAGTCTTTTCAACAAATGATAATAGAAAAATTGATAGCTACAGGCACAAAAATAGCCCTCAGTGAATCAAAGTTGGCTTAAATGTAAGAGCTAAAACTATATAATTCTTAGAAGAAAATATAGTAGTGAATCTTCCTGACACTGGATTTGGCAAGGGGAGTTTCTTGGATTTAATACTAAGTTATAGACAATAAAGGTAAACTATATTAATTAGACCTCATCAAAGTTAAAAACCTATATTCATGAAAGGATAGTATGGAGAGTGAAAATAGAAGCTGTTTGCCAACCATATAACAGATAAAGGATTAATATCCACAGTATCTAAATAATTCCTAGTCAATCACTAAAAAGAAAAAGAAAAAAAGAACCCAATTTTTCAAGTGGGAAAAAGATATGAATAGATGTTTCTCCAAATAAGAGATAAAATGGCTAATAAGTGCCCCTAAAGATGACGAAATGACTAATCACTAAGGAAATGCAAATCAAAACCATAGTAAGATGTTACTTCATTCCTACCACCAAAACAAAAGAAAACAGTAAGTGTTGTCAAGGATGTGGAGAAACTGGAATCCCTGTGCTTTGCTTGTAGGAATGTGAAACGTATAGCCACTATGGAAAATAGGCTGGCAGTTCCTCAAAAATGCAAATGACTCAGCAATTCTAATCCTAGGTGTATACCATGAAGAAATGAAAGCATGGAGTCAGATAGTTGCATGCCTAGGCTCATAGCAGCACTACTCACAGTAGCTAAAAGACACAAACAACAACAATGTCCAGGAACAGATGAATGAATAAACAAAATGTGGCACATGTACTACAATTGAATATATTCAGCTTTTAAAATGAATGAAACTCTGATACATAACTACAGCATAGATTGTGGTGATATTTTAATTGTGCTGAAATTTGATTTTATTTGTTTGTTTATGGTGATATTTTATTTGTACTGAAATGTGATTTTATTTGTATGTTAATAAATAAAGTTGCCTGGGGGTCAGAGCTATTAGCAAGCCATAGCAAAAACTGGGCGGTGGTGGTACTCACCTTTAATCCCAGCACTTGGTAGACAAAGCTAGGTAGATCTCTATGTGTTCAAGGATACAGCCAACATTAGAGACACACGCCTTTATCTCAATACCAACCATAAAAGACCTGGAGGTCTGTACAGACAGAAAGTGACTAGGAGGTCATATGGTTAGGTTTACAACCAATAAAAAGATAAAACAAAAACTCTATAAAAAAAAAAAAACAGACCCACCACGACAGTGAAGGGTAAGGTTTTTAACTCTTAACTATTGCTCTGACCTCTTGGCTTTCATCTCTGTATTGGCTTTATGTTTCTTATTTAATAAGATGGTTGGTTACATCTACATTTTAGGACGGTGGCCATGAAAGTCAAAATCCACTAAAAAATATATAACAACTTGTGGGAGCCCGTTCTGGGGTTCCTCGTGGCT